GTTTAAATCAGACACCAGGTGTGTTGAGGGGGTGGGGTTTAAATCAGACACCAGGTGTGTTGAGGGGGCGGGGTTAAATCAGACACCAGGTGTGTTGAGGGGGCGGGGTTAAATCTTCCACCAGGTATGTTCAGTTTCTGCTTCAACTTCCACGTTACAGTTCAGTTTTATGTTTGTTTTCAGGGTTTGGAGCTCAGAGGACCGTATGACATCATCAACCTGTATCCTCTAATCAGTGATGAGCAACCTGCCAGGCTGCCTCAGTCTGTGGTTCTGTGTTTGTTTAGTTCTGTCATTGTTATGTTCCTAACCCGGGTCTCAGAGGTCAGCTGTTCGGTTTGTTGGACTCGGACTCTAAAGAGTCCATCTCCTCAACGTGCAGAACTGTTTTACTGCATGCAGGTAAATTCTGTTGTTCTGCTGCCTCCTGATGGTTCAGACTGTTTACCTCATTGTTTGTTTGTTTGTGTCAGAAACCAGGAAGACAGCCAGCGGTGTCATGTACACCACAAGGATCCAGCAGAAGGTGCCACAGGACCCAAAAGACGGTGAGTTTCCTCTGCAGTTCATGCAGGAAGTGATGTTGACACAGAGCTGCAGAAACCCAGGAGTGCCTCTGGTTTGTGCAGTTGACCCTGAGGTGCTCCTCTGACACACTAGAACCCACCTGTTTTGGACTGGTTTTACCTGCCAACCTCAGAAGTCTAACAGTCTCTCTGTGCTTACCTGTACAGGTGAAGCTCCTGCAGCAAAAAGAGCCAAAGCCACCTGACTGAGTGATTGGCAGCTGAGGAGGCGGGGTCTTTGTTCAAGTTTTTTGTTTTGTTTTCTCTGTGAAACTGATGTTCTGGTTTTGGATCTACAAGTAGAATAAAAAGTATTTTTTGTTCTTATCCTGTGGTAGATGGTCGCTGACCCTGAGGGTCATTATGTTATTTGCCTCCTTCCCTCAACACAGTTCAAGCTCAGTGGGTCATCCGGGTCGTCGTCTACCTGAGATGTTTGATCACCTGCCTGAAGGTGTGAGTTCAGGTCAGACTCAACGCTGCGCTGTAGGTTGACCTGGAATCACGTAATAAACATGAGTCATCATGTACAAACCGGATTCCAAAAAAGTTGGGACACTAAACAAATAGTGAATAAAAACTGAATGCAATGATGTGGAGGTGCCAACATCTAATATTTTATTCAGAATAGAACACAAATCACAGATCAAAAGTTTAAACTGAGAGAATGTTTCATTTTAAGGGAAAAATCTGTTGTTTCCAAATTTCATGGCGTCAACAAATCCCAACAAAGTTGGGACAAGTCCATTTTTACCACTGTGTGGCATCCCCCCTTCTTCTTACAACACTCAACAGACGTCTGGGGACAGAGGAGACCAGTTTCTCCAGTTTAGAAATAGGAATGCTCTCCCATTCATGTCTAATACAGGCCTCTAACTGTTCAATCGTCTTGGGCCTTCTTTGTGGCACCTTCCTCTTTATGATGCGCCAAATGTTCTCTATAGGTGAAAGATCTGGACTGCAGGCTGGCCATTTCAGTACCCGGATCCTTCTCCTACGTAGCCATGATGTTGTGATTGCTGCAGAATGTGGTCTGGCATTATCGTGTTGAAAAATGCAGGGTCTTCCCTGAAAGAGATGACGTCTAGATGGGAGCATATGTTGTTCTAGAACCTGAACATAGTTCTCTGCATTAATGGTGCCTTTCCAGACATGCAAGCTGCCCATGCCACAAGCGCTCATGCAACCCCATACCATCAGTGATGCAGGCTTCTGAACGGAGCGTTGATAACAACTTGGGCTATCCTAGTCCTATCTGGTCCGGATGACATGGCGTCCCAGTGTTCCATAAAGAACTTCAAATGGTGACTCATCTGACCACAGAACAGTCTTCCATTTTGCCACACTCCATTTTAAATGACCCCTGGCCCAGTGCAAACGTCTGAGCTTGTGGAGCTTGCTTAGAAATGGCTTCCTCTTTGCACTGTAGAGTTTCAGCTGGCAACGGCGGATGGCACGGTGGATTGTGTTCACTGACAATGCTTTCTGGAAGTATTCCTGAGCCCATTCTGTTATTTCCTTGACAGTGGCATTCCTGTTTGAGGTGCAGTGACGTTTAAGGGCCCGGAGATCACGAGCATCCAGTAGAGTTTTACGGCCTTGACCCTTACACACAGCGATTGTTCCAGATTCTCTGAATCTTTTGATGATGTTATGCACGGTTGATGATGATAACTTAAAAGTCTTTGCTATTTTACACTGGGTAACACCATTCTGGTATTGCTGCACTATCTTTCTGCGCAACAATGGTGGAATTGGTGATCCTCTTACCATCTTGGCTTCTGAGAGACACTGACACTCTGAGAAGCTCTTTTTATACCCAATCATGTTGTCAGTTGACCTAATTAGTGTTAATTGGTCTTCCAGCTGTTTGTTATATGATCAATTTCCTTTTTCCAGCCACTTATTGCTTCTTGTCCCAACTTTTTTGGGATTTGTTGACACTGAAATTTTGAATCAACATATTTTTCCTTTAAAATGTTACATTTACTCAGATTAAACATTTGATCTGTCATTTATGTTATATTACGAATAAAATATTGACATTTGCCATCTCCACATCATTGCATTCAGTTTTTATTCACAATTTGTTTAGTGTCCCAACTTTTTTGGAATCTGGTTTGTATATGTATGTATGTATATATATATATATATATATATATATATGTATGTATGTATATATATGTATATGTATGTATGTATATATATGTATATGTATGTATGTATATATATGCATGTATGTGTATATATGCATGTATGTGTATATATGCATGTATGTATATATATGTATGTATGTGTATATATGCATGTATGTATATATATGCATGTATGTATATATATGTATGTATGTGTATATATATATGTATGTATATGTATGTATGTATATATGTATATATATGTATGTATATATGTATATATATATATGTATGTATATATGTATATATATGTATGTATATATGTATGTATGTATGTATATATATATCTCTATATGTATATATATATATGTATGTATGTATACATATATGTATATGTATGTATACATATCAATCAACCTTTATTTATACAGGTAAATCCCATTGAGCCTCGAGGACTCATTTACAAGAGAGACCTGATTTCAACAAAGAAAGATGACAACAATGGACAACAGCAACAACAATAAACAGTTATAAAAACTCATACTACAGTTTTTGGTTTTTTTTTTTTAACAAATAGGATGGCTAAAAGGAAAAAGGTAACTAAACCAAAAAAACTGCTAGATTCCGAGACAAATGTATAAAACTAAAAACAGGAACATGTCTGCATTGGTCCCTGCCAGGAGTCCAACAGATTCTTAAAGACACTTAGAGAGGTCAAAGGTCGAGAGCTTCAGGTCTTTTTGTAAGATATTCCAGGAAACAGGAGCGGAGTAGGAGAAGGTCCTTTTGCCTAGTTCAGTCCTCACTGAAGGAACACTGCAGGTAATAATTCCTATATATATGTATGTATGTATGTATATATATGTATGTATGTATATATATATATATATGTATGTATATATATATGTATGTATGTATATATATATGTATGTATATATATGT